TACATTAAATAAAAGTCCGAAAATGATTCAAATGAATGTTTAGACATGATAAGATTTGTTGTCTTGTAATTAATTTTTTTATTATTTAAAAACACACATAATATTATATATTTTAATATTATATATTTATTTAATTTATATTATTATATTATATAACATAATGTAGTGTTATAATCATAATATGTGCTCTAAAATATGACATTTATAATTTTTTTAAGTAAAGATTAAATTTGGAAAAATTATATTTTTAATTAATTTTTTTTTTTAAACTTGTGATGATTATTTGCGCTAAATGTCATTAAAAAACCAAAAAAAAGAAGAAAAGAAATGGAAAACATTTCTTGCGAAGGACAACATTCCGCGCAGCACGTCGGAACCATCTTCTGTTAGGCGGCTTTCTGCCTAATCCAATAAGGATTCAGGCAAACGCGAAAACCAGTCTTTTATCTTTATCTTTATCTTTATCCAAAACGGCGAGAAGAGAACCACTTAGCCAACTCAACCCAGAACAACATTCCCCAAATCCCAATCCCGAAACAAACTCCATTTGTTTTCCACGTGTAGGCTTGGCAGCCCCCCATTCCGCACGTGCCCCCATTTAACGCCACACAACCACAGTTAAAAATATAGTAAAAACAAGGGTTTTTTTTTTTTTTCACAATAACAATGATTAATAGGTTAGTTTTATTAATAATTAACAATTAAGATTCGATCTCCAAATCTAATGAATATCCCATCTTTCTCAATAAAGCATGCGACCCATCGGGTCGCTTGATGGAGTTCAACAAGAGTCCTTTGTCAAGTGAGATAAATATTTTTTTATTATTAATTTATATAAAAATAATAAAAATTAATTTTTATTTTTACGTTATTATTACATGAATAATTTTAATTAATTAATTAAATTTAAATTAATTTTTATTTATATTAATAATAAAAATATATATTTATTATACTTTTTATATTGTATAATTATGATACAAAATAAAAATTCCTAAAAACAATCTTAACCGCTCACCGCACTGTAACCCTGGTTAAAAGAAACTAACCATAGTTAATTCAATTTCACGAAGGGTAACGGACGGAGAGTTGCAGCGGGCCCCACCGTGGCTTCTCTTGTTCGTAACCCACTTGCCTTTCTCCTTCGTTTCTTCGGGGGGCTCTCTTTTTTCTTTTATTTTTTCTCATTTAATTTAATCCAAAATTTTTCAGTTTTAAAAGTTTTCTGTATTTAGATCTCTATGTCTGTTGGATTTCTCCATACAAGGTTTCTCCTTTGTCCTTTGTTGCATGTGGGTGTCGGGTTGAGTGTTGCGCTGGTTGTCGGAGTCGGAGGCAGAGGTTGCCATGGCAGCTAAGAAGGCGTGTGAGTCCTTGTCTAAGAGCTTGATAGGGGAGGTTCACAAATGGGGTTGCATGAAGCAGACGGGGGTTAGTTTGAGGTACATGATGGAGTTTGGGTCCAGACCCACCGAGAGGAACTTGTTGCTTTCGGCTCAATTCCTCCACAAGGAGTTGGCCATTAGGATTGCCAGGAGAGCCGTCGAGCTCGAGCGTCTCCCTTACGGGTTGTCTGAAAAACCTGCTGTTTTGACGGTACCCTTTTGCCTTTTAGCTTGAAAGTTCATGACTTGCATTTCTTGAATTCGGTAATGGTGGGTGTCTTGTTAATATCTTGTGTTATAACTGGGACCGTTGTATTGTATTGAACTGCCTAGATTCTGGTGATAATTTCTATTATTTTGATTTTATTTGGAATTTGGCAAACGTATGTCCTGTGAACTAGCATTTCTTTTTCGTTGTTTTAATTATGGTGGTGTGCATGGAGATTCTGGCTGTCTCTGCTCTGGGGGGTTCTGATTTTAAATACTATATTTTTGCTGCACTTGCGTTGGTTTTTGTTAGGGCCTTTGGTGAGAATCCATGGAGGAAACTTCGATACAGATGAAAGCCATGAGCACTAGATTAAATTCTTTAATGATTCTTTCATTCTGCTTTGTGCTTTCCTATGCAGTCTATGGTAATCTTTTTGAATACGAGGGAACCTTGCTTTGAACACCTTGACTCTTGCATCCCTGTTCCTTGGGATTTTTAATCAAAAGATGATAGGGAAATTGGAAGGTTATAGATTTAGTGCTAAATTTCAAAGATTTTGGAGCTGGAGCTCATTTCATGTTGAAGTCTCATTTTCAGGTCCGAGACTGGTACTTGGACTCGTTCCGTGATGTAAGATCGTTTCCAGAGATTAAGGATGCAAATGATGAGAAGGAGTTCACGCAGGTGATTAAGGCAGTAAAGGTGAGACACAACAATGTGGTCCCTATGATGGCTTTAGGGGTTCAACAACTGAAGAAAGGAATGGACCCAAATATTGTTTGTGAGGATCTTGATGAGATTCATCAATTTCTAGATCGATTTTACATGTCAAGGATTGGAATTCGCATGCTTATAGGTTAGTTTTAACTTCATTATCCTTCTTATAACTTGAATGTTTTCTTCTTCATTTTCTTCTACATGTTTATATTACAGTTGTTGATTTTCTTTCTAAGAGTTGTAATCTTTTAAATTACCAGGGCAGCATGTGGAGCTGCACAATCCTAATCCTCCTCCACATTGTGTGGGGTATATTCATACAAAGATGTCACCTCTGGTGGTAGCACAAAATGCTAGTGAGGATGCTCGTGCCATTTGTTTGCGAGAATATGGAAGTGCACCTAATGTTACGATCTATGGAGATCCCAATTTTACATTCCCGTAAGTTGATTTAGTGTCACACTGGTTGAGCTTACTCCCTCTTTCCTTTTTTTTTTTTTGGTTTTTAATTTGTTCTCTCTTTTGACCTACCCTCTCTTATTCTTCCATTATTTCTTGTGCTGGTTATTGGAATGGTTGACCAATATACATCCTAATTTCAATATTAGTAGTAATGAAAACAGTGAAGACTGCTGTGATTTAACTTCTATTTATGATCTGCTCTGTATGATAACCAGCTATGTCCCAGCACATCTCCATCTCATGGTGTTTGAGTTGGTCAAAAACTCCCTACGTGCTGTCCAGGAATGTTTTATGGACTCAGATAAAGTTGCACCTCCAATTAAAATTATCATTGCTGATGGAATTGAAGATGTTACTATAAAGGTACAGCTCAGTATTTTATGAACTGTCTAGAATTTTTGAGATTGTCATGTACTACCACCATACATGATTCATTCATATTTCACTCTTTTGTTCAATGAGATAAGACTAATAAGTTGGTTCTATTGGCATCATAGGTGTCAGATGAGGGGGGTGGGATACCAAGAAGTGGTCTTCCCAAAATTTTTACCTATCTTTACAGCACTGCTCGAAACCCACTGGATGAGCACTCAAATCTTGGAACAGCTGATGCAGTTACAATGGCAGGATATGGTTACGGATTACCAATTAGCCGCTTGTACGCTCGGTATTTTGGAGGGGATCTGCAAATTATATCTATGGAAGGGTATGGTGAGTTAACTTCTATTGCAATTTGAAGTTATAGTTTAGTTACTCTTGAGATTAATGTGAATGAGAAATTTGATCGTGAAAATTCAACTAGTTTCCTTCTAGTACGTACTACAGTTTGCAGCATTTTATTTATATCATGTGTTTGTGCTTGTTGTTTGCAATGTATGTTTCTTAACATGTAAGCATATGATATTCATTCACTCCTTTTCACTAAGAGTGAAATGCCTATTTTATCACTAGAAAATGGTGGAAAGGAAGTGAAAATGTTGTATGTGCAAAACCCTTTTATGAACTGTAAATCAGGATAAGTAGGTGTGAACAGTTAATTTATAAAGTACTAACTTTTGGTGGATCCTATAACTGATATCTGCCTAGCAGACCTGGGATCATCTTAAGACAAATGGCAAATCCAGCGAGTTTGAGAACTTCTTTATAGTTTTCGAAACCTTGAAAATTGAAATTTATTGTAAGGAAAAAACTTGCTGTGTGTTTGCAGGGACTGATGCACATCTTCTACAGTCAGAAACCCAATGCAAATTTATGTCTCTAACTACTTTTGTTGCTCTGTGCAGGGACTGATGCATATCTTCATCTGTCTCGATTGGCAGACTCACAAGAACCATTGCCATGAGTCCAGGGTGCAGACGTGCAGTTCAAAGCCAAAGAGTAAGCATAAGGTCTCATAATCAATTCATACAAACATGATGCAAGGAAAGTTGTTGGATGATGATGTTTGAAGGATAAAGTTGCTGTCAATTTTTCATGTTAATAAATTGGCAGTTTTCATATAACCAGTTGACATATTACTTGGATTGGTTCAAAATGAAAAGTTCATTTGCTCTTACATTTGCCTTCTCTTTCCAGTTTTATGGGTTTGGTTGGGGGTTGGCGTGTGTGTATGTCTGGGGCCATCAAAATTACTAGGAGCCGCATGTAGTGTAGGAATGGTTAGAATATCACAGATTTGAAACGTTTTCTCACCTCCAAGTATTAAAAGGAAAATGTTTCTTATGGTAGGGAATGAAGAAGGGGATTTTATTACTAATCAAATTATAATGTTTAAAAATATTATAATTTAACAAGTAAAAAAATCATCCCTTCTCCTTTCCTCCCATCTATTCTTTCATCAACGTTACCTCCACGGAACATTGCTTCACCATGTTTGATTTTTTTTTCCTTATGTTGGCCATGACACATTAGATATTGTAAACCAATCAAATTTTCACTAAAGCGTTCACTGAACAGTTACCTCTAAAATCTCTTTTAAATGTATACTTAACCCCAACCCAAAGTCATAATCAGGACCACACAGACAACTTTAGACTGCCGTAGCTGCTCACAAACTAACTCTGTTGTGGATAAGGATAGCTGGCAGCTTCCTGCACCACTCAGCAGTTCCACTTGCTAAAAATTGTACGTCATCATCACCCAATAGATTCCTCTAGCTATGAAACATAAACTCATCATTGCTCAGTGCATTCAAATAACAACCACTAGTTGGGTACAATAGACCGAGCTACTAATATTAATACGTTGGACTTTCTTCTTGTGCTCGGGTCCAGTAGCAAACAATAGTAAAAAATGAAACCCCACATGATAGAGGACTAAAAATGGGGTATCCAATCCATACTAGAGAAAAACGCTTTCACTTTAATGCTGCTTTGATGTGTACGTATGAGGTTGGAAACACAACTCTGGCAATTTTGAGATAGGCGTTCCTCGTGCTTCTGTCAAGTCCATCTCCTAAAACGAAAAGAGAAGATTCCATAATTCAAAATTGTAAAGAGATCAATGCCTTCTTTGCTTTTTACGCTTCATTGTCTGCCGACCCCTAATCTTCCATTTGTCATTTCCAGCCGGCTGATTTCGTTCCTCAATCTCCCGTACCTTGCGCTTCCTGTAAAAATGTCGATACATGTTAATAACATACTAACAGATGTAAAGTGAAGGGATACTTGTCAGCAAAATAAGAGAAAAATACAATAGATAACTAACAGCCATACCATCAGTCAAACTTACTTTTTTTCTTTTGAACGGCAACATACCATTATTCAAACTAAAGCACCTTTCATACTGAATTGTGTAAAATATTGTTTTCTTTACCATAATTTCAGGTCAAAAGTCTTAACAGATTATATGATTATATTGTCATCAATCCAGCAGCTCATGAACATATATGACTTTCATCCAGGGAAAAAACATATCACTTAGTCAGCAAATTTCTGAATATCTCACCTGTACTGTTTGACAGCAGGATCAGAAAGTAGCTCGTCCGCAATGGTTGGCTTCCTCTCCTTCTTAGTTAGCCTACCCGAGAAGAAGTCTGTTGTAGATTCTATCACCGTACCAATCTGATTAATTACACAAAAGAAACATATATAATAATTAACAATAAAGCATAACATAGCAGAATTCGCCAATAAACAAAAAGTCTTATTTGTTCCAAGTATGTTGCACTGCATAATCAGGTTAATACAATAGAGTACACTTACCTGGAAATACTTTGGCAGTGTCTTTGATTTCGAATCACCCTTCTTATAGTGTCTCTTTGGATCAATAACACTCCTCAACTGTATCACGTATAAATCCAAAATGTCAAAATAAAGGTTCTGTGATGGGCCAAAAAATAAGATATAGCTTCTGTATCATATACTTTGGCAGATACATCTAACATCCTATGGCTGTTGATTCTAATCTAATAACCCCTTGCCAACAATAAAATGGCTGGTTAATTATCTACCACAAAACTACTCTATCATCATAACGACTGATGAGTCCATTTACCACTACAGTAACTATATTGATTTCAAGTTCATATAAACAATCTATCAATGAAAACTGGGCATTGCATATAACCAATACTCAATTGAACTTATTTTACATTCTCAACTCACCAATTGAATGCAACAGGGCAATTGATAAGGGCCTAAATCTAGTGCCACGTGAATTGACATATAGCAGAAAGAATTTGCCACAAAAGACAATGTCCAATCCCAAAATATGCAAAACTCACCATTAAACTAAGAGAAGTTGCAAAGTTAGCATGATATAGAGACAAATTAAACAATAAGTAGCAACAGCCATTGCACCTTTAGCAGCTGAAGATCTTTCTTCACTTCTGGAGTGATTGTTGGAGCAGGCATATCAAACCTAGTAGAATTTTACAACAAAAAAACAAACAATTAAAAAGGCAATCAATTTGCACTAACGTCCAGTTCAATAGCTGTTAAAAAATCTCGCTCTCGCAGCAAACTCTGGAAAGAAATAATTTAACAGCAATAACCAAACACACCAGTTGCTGCCTGTAGTATCTTTAATCTGCTTTCTCTGCAACTTGTTCAACTTTTTAGGATCGTTAGGCGGAACGAAGAGCCCATCTATGAGCTCCGAACTGGGTTTCCAAAGCGCACTACTTTCCGGCTCATCTCGAGATTTGCCATCAGAAAAAGTTGCAGTTTTTGGTTTGGTTAAAGTTTCACATGGTAATCCAGGGATCTTAGGCTCCCATGCGAGCCCGATCACCGGCTTATTCTCCGGCATTGCCACTCGAAAACGAAGCTCAAATTAATAGCTTTTCCGAATACGAACAAGCTGCACATACAAACAGATATCGAAACCATGATTAGATGGTTCAAATTGAACTAAGAACTCGAAATTCGTAAGCGTCAGAGGAATGTATCAAATTGTTATGTTCGACATTAAGAACAAAATTACAACCGAAAGATGAGGAAGCAAAGAAAATTTGAAGATAAGAGCTCACCGTAGATGAAACCAGCCAGAAAATACGAGAAATTTGGGGTTGGAAACTGCTTCCGAAGATCTTGTCTTCAGCAGAGAACTAGGGATTTAAGAAAGGTCGAAGGGGATTAGGGTTTAAGCGTTGGGAATTTGGAAAATTGAAGAAAAAGGGATTTTGGGCCTTTCTGGAGCCCAATAAAATATACAGACTAAAGAGCTAAAAGGCCCAGAACTGCAGCAGCCACGGCCCAACTAATATTATCTCTACAGCAGCCAGCCGCGGCATTAGTATTGTTTTTCCTGTTGGGAAAACGGAAATAGGTGCAAGTCTCTCCATCTAATGGCAGATGGCAAGTGTTTTATTCTCTGATATAATACGAATCACAAAACACCAAATTTCACCTTTAATTGATGGTTCAGCACATGAGAGGAATATCATCATTTTATATTATCGACTGATAGAGTCATCTGTATTTTTTTTTTTTTATCTTAGTTGTATAGTGAAAAGTAACCATCTTTCATTTTTTATCTCACTCCACTCATATGTCTAATGATTCGAACTCAAGACCTCTTGCTTTTAATAAAAAACAATAACCACTGAACTATTTAAGTCGTTGACGAGTCATCTGAATTTTTAATCACAAGTTTAAGGTTCAATCCTTAATAACCAAAATAAAAAAGAGGAATGGGAGGGGAAAAACGCTGAACAGATTATCTCATAGACAACGCAAACGTTTCAGAACCGTCCCAAGACAAAAATTTGAGAAGGGACAACAACAGAGCGAGAACAAGTTCAAGTCTCCATGAATAGTCAACAAATGCAGTAGAGACACTACCTGCACTACCTAGACTGCGTTGCTTACTGTTAGTTGAGCCATCAAACATTAGTTAATCACTTAAATCATTGTAGAAATTTAGCTCATCATCACCCGGGGCACCAACAGCATTTGTGGGATTAACATCCAAGGATTCCACATTGTCAAAGGTTGAGATGTCAAATGATCCATTTCCAGGCTTCACTCTACCACATTCATATTCGATCAGATCATTCCTATAATCTTCGTCATCTCCCATTTCCCCTTCATAATAAATGATTTCCTGCAACAGCAGGATTAGTAGATTTTGTCAAATTTCTGCATTCATGCATCGCTGCTTCAAAGTCCAAACATCCATACCTTGGCAAACTACCATGACAGAATGCTTCTATTATTAATTGAAATAGTTGCAGTTTGGAAGGATGAAATATACCTCATCTTCTTGCCAGGATCTTTTCTCTGCCTCTGCAATCCAGTCATGGAGTAAACTTTCTACCAGAATGTTGTCGAAGGAGACTGAGTTGCAGGGCCTTTTCTTTATTTGGTTTTCTCTGAGTCGCAAGTTGTAATGTACATAGATGAGGTCATTAAACCTCTTCTGTGCTATGCGACTGTGCCTTAACTTACGGATCTGATCATGCATACTCCAATTATGCTCGCACCCAACAGATGAGCATGTCTGACTTAATATGCGAACAGCTATACGTTGCAGCTCTAAGCAACTTATTCCATGTTGTTGCCACCATGCGGCTAGTAAGGAAAATGGTTATAACATAGTGATTTGTGGTGGATTAAACTTGATATACAAACACACCACATCCAAATGGTTCAATAATGCATCCTTAAATGCAAGTGCGAAAAGTTTACCTGGATCAAGCTCTGTTCTTGTACTAACTGCCAATTCAGTTCCAAAATCAGCTTTTGCAGAAGTATAATCTGGGATCTGAGATATTATACCAAGAAATTGTGTACAAAGAGAAAATATCAAGAAATTGGAGACATTTAGAACACAACAAAAGACAACCTTATTGAGGGAATTGTTACCTGCATGGAAGCAGAAATCCTTATTGCATTGTCTACCTCCAGCCGAGCAATGGATTCATTCAGTCCACGCCCCACTTCCATATGCTACATTTATATGAAATAAAGAGCTAAGTTGGAAGAGAAAACAGTGTATATATATTAAAAAAATTTAGCCAATCAATATAAATTTGCAATCAACTAACCATTTGTGTTTCTCCTACAGGCACAAAATCAGGATGATATCTGCATGATGGATTCAAGAAGTAAGCTGCTGTATGTAGAGGGTGGTGGAATAACAAATTCCAATGGTTGTCTATCACACCCCAGAACGGTCCATATTTATGTGCATCTTCATCGTGGATGGATTTAATTGCAAGCTTGGCCCTGCACATGTCATTGTATACATATGACATTGATAGGCATTTACTATTGTAAACCTTTTGAAGCACCTCCATTACTGGGCTCACTGATTTTCTAACATAGTTCACCTTCTTCCAAAATGTAGCATTCAATACAATCTTTTCGACAACTTTTCCCTCCTCAGTTTTGGAGAACCGAGATGAAAACCACTTGTTGGACTGGAACATTCTTTTAAGGCTTGTCCTATGATCCAGCAAATTATGCAAAGTTGCAAAGCTGGAAGCAGACTGGGTTAAAGATGGCATAAGGAGTTCTTGCCCCAAGGTAAATTCTTCTTTCATAAGATTCAACAACCAAACTTGGTTGTAAATGAACCTTGTAACTCTTTGGCCCTTCTTAATGCACTCCCACACACACTTCAACTTCAAAAAATCTTCAAGTATCTGATTGATACAATAGGTGGCACATGGGGTCCAGAATAAATTTCTCCTCTTCTCTTCAAGCATCTTACCAGCAGCCTTGTAAGTTGGAGTATTCTCAGTGATTACCTATAGTGAAGCAAGAGGAGATGTGAGACATAGAAAATGTCAAGTTAGCTCATTAGCTCTCATCAGATCATTAAGGTTGAAAAACCACTCAAGATAGAAATGTCAAATACCTGGACTACATTTTCCTCACCCACATCTTCGACCACTTTGTCCAGCAACTTAAACAAATTCACAGCATCATCTAACACATAGGTGACATCTACTGAAGAAACAAAGTAGACACCACGGGGACAAGAAACTAAAAAGTTTACTATTGCCCTACCCTCTGTATCTGTCCAACTGTCAGCCAAAATAGAACAGCCAGTAGTTACCCAGGATGCCTTATACTCAACTAGGTAGCTTTTAATTGTTGCAATTTCCTCCTGTAGAAGGCGTCCAGATATCATTTGGCTTGAGGGGCTAATTAGGCCTGGTCCATGTTGGCCTACCAACTCTAGCATCTTATGGAAGTAGAGGGAGCTTGCTGCTTCCACTGGAACTCCAGCATGGTAAAAAAATTTGCAAATTGCAGAATATACTTCCCCACGGAATTTCTTACCGTAGCCCATTTTTCCTCTTGCCTTTTTACAAGAAAGTGGTGCTTGACTCATTGCTACATTCAGGAAAACAGAATCTAAACGTGATTTTTTCACTAATGGTTCAGAAATAGGAGACATGACTTTGAAAGTATTTCTCAAATCTTTGCCTCGTCCTCTATTGCTGATTGACAGTTTTTCCTTGCTTGTTCGGCCCATAACATCCTCCTCTTGCACATCCTCTTCATCATCATCATCATCATTTGATTCTAAAGAGAGAGCAGAGATCTCCTTGTCATCAGGGCGTTTGTGTCTCTTCCCAGAGCGGTGCCATTTCATATTCTCTTTTATTTTAAGATACACTTCCTCAGGAGCATTCTTACATGGTGCCACTTCTCCAGGAATTCTAGCAAGATGTTGTTTGAACCGATTGATGCCACCACTAACTATTTTCTCACAATAATTACACTTTACCTTTTTCTTCCTTTCATCCTGAGCAACTCCATGTTCCCAGCCTGGATCAGTGTATCCTAATGACCGCAAGGGAGTTATGTTCAAACCCATGTTATTATCACTCATCAATTGCTTCCCTTTGCTTCTATAGCCAATATGTTCATCACCCTCTTCACCAACATTAGAGTGGAAGTTTAAATAAACTTGTCCACCACTGTCAGATCTCATTTTTTTCCTATTGGAATGACATTCTTCCAACTTTTCTTTCATTCTCAAATATACTTCCTCTGGAGCTTTATCACAGTAGGTTACTTCTCCAGAAACACGAGCTAAATGTTGCTTTAGTCTATAAATGCCACCACTAACTACTTTTCCACAGTAATTGCATTTAACCTTCTTCTTCCTCTCATCTTGAGCAACACCATGCTCCCATCCAGGGTCAGACCCAGAGGAGCGCGATGAAGCCATCAACTCTACCATTCAGTAACTTCACAAATCATCTAATTCAACCCTTACCATATCAGGCTTCTGCAGAACACACACAACCAAGTCATGTCAACACGCACCAGCACCATACCCTCTTCAAAGCTAAAGCATTATGACCAGAACTTCATAGCAGTCACAACAATCACTTTAAACGAAAACCAACCAATATGTATAAAATTATAGAATAAAATCAATCTCAAACAAACAGTTGCAACTGTTCGAGCAATTTCATGTTAATAAAAATCAAATCTTGCATGATTTTTGTGTCAAAAACTTCCCTTTACAGAAAACATGCCATGCCTTTACTTTGTACTACAGAGGTTGCTCAACTTTCTTATGACAAACATAGCTGCAGGCTTAAGAATTATGCTTATAAATATACCCCTTTCACCTTTGATGAAGCCATATAAAGCAGGTAACTGTTTAACTATTGCAGGTTAAAAAAAAAGGGGGGGAAGACACAAAGCAGGGAATTTTCAACATGCAATTGCAGTTCTAATATCAATGACAAATAATTTGCTTCAAAATTAAAGCCGATTAGGAAAAATCATGCGATTTTGAAATTGATACCTGAGAGGGGAATTTTTCTCATGCAATTTCTGGGTCTTCGAAAATTCGTCGGCATTTGATCTTTCAGGGAAACAATTTCACAAATCAGAGGAGAGGATTGAAGATTGGAGAGGCGTAGGGGGGGAGAGAATTGAAATCTGAGGAGGAAGAAGAAGAAGAAGAAGAACGATCCGAGAATCGTCTCGGAGTGGTGAGTCACGAGTGATAAAAGGTGGGTGAATGTTGTGAGTCTTGTGAGTCTTGTCACTCGACTCGGGCGTTTTTAGGCAGT